GCATCTATTATTATAATCTTATTTTATATATATTCCGATTTATCCTTTCGCCTGAAATTACGTTACATAGCCGAAAAAGTAGTAAACAGAAAGTAATTTTAATTGAAGCCTTGTTTAGTATGAGCGAAACCATTAACAGCTACTCAGTGGGCTGTATTATTAAAAATACATGAACTTGAGCAACCATTAAACTATTAAAAAGTCCAAAGTTCATCATGTGGCAACGCCAAGCACATGTGCAACTGATCTCTTCCCCCTCACATGACCCCCTGACATTCTTCCTCTTTCGCTCGCGCACACAGCGCAACTTGTGTGCACTTATGGCGAAGCTTAATTAAGACACACACAGACACATGTGCATGCATAAACCTACACATWTATGTGTATGTATGTACAAGAGACGATTACTAGCGAACAAAACATGTGAAAAATTGTTTGGTACAACTTTGACACGGCGACAAAACAACGATTTCCACTTAAACAACAAACAGAAGCTCTTGTGGAAAACAAACCACAAAACAGAATCCAGAAGTTAATCGAAAAACGCTAAACAATGCTCGAGTCACAGTCAGAGTGAAGTGAGAATCAGCGAGCGGAGTCGTCGAAGTGGGAATTGTGGGTAAGCACACTCGGCAGCGCTCTGCGCTCAGAGCTCCGCATCCGATGGGGCAATGGAGAGAGCGGCAAACAAATTAATTTTTATATATGACATTAAAGCGAGCGAGCGAGCAGCAGAGGCGATTGCATAAAAAGAAGAGTGGTTAAGTGTTGAGTGACTGAGAAACAAATCTCAGCGAAGACAATGAGACTGAGCGTCGAATGGCCTGGTGTTGACAGCCGACTGAGTGGGAGAGCGAGCGGGAGAGCAAGCGGGAGCGCTAGCTAGATTGAGTGTGAGCTGCTGAGGCGCGTGACATATGTGTGAAGATAAAATTAAAGTGCGCGTCAAAGGCGAACTTCCGCGGCAGCCAGCTACGGCCACAGCTACAGCTACCAGCACGAAAAAACTGAAAGAGCGCCGCTCTCGCGCTCAACTGTTGCTCTCACATCGAGTGTTGCCGTGTTGCAAACAGCCACTGAGCCAGCGAGCCACACATGCCCATGCAGCTGACTGATTGTACAAAAACAAAAACAAAAAACCTGCTAGGCCACTTTACGGCTTCCATTGCATGGCGCATGCGATGTGATTGGGCAAAAAGTACGCCATATTTGAAAATTACACACAGTGCAGCTCGCTCGCACAGCACGCTCGCCTCTCCTTGCACCAACACGCTCAAGCGCTGTGCAGCGCTGCTTACCGGTTTTGAGCGCACCGCAGCCAGAGAGCAAAGAGAGCTGCAGCGTGAGCACACACATTGCTGAGAGCGGATTTTCGCTTCACTCTAACGCAAGTCACCGAACGGCATATTCAGACAATTCAGTTCGAGTTTAGCCTTCGATGCGTTCAGACGTGTTCGGAAAAAAGCCTAAAACGGAAAGCAAAAAGCAAACTCTACCAGCAACAACACTTGTGTATCTGTGTATCTCTCTGCCTCTCTGCATAAGTATTTGTATCTGACAGAGCGCACGGCTGTCAGAACGTTCGGCGTGTAAAGTGCTTGAACAGCCACAACAAAAAGTGAAAGATACGCCACTTGGCCACTTGTCAAAACAGTGAACGCAAGCAATTTCTGAAATCAACAAGAAATTCAAGAAAAGTAAATTTGTGAATAATACCCTGGAATTATTTCAAGGAAATAATCCAAGAAACAACCAAATCTGAAAAAGAAAATTTCAAAAATCAAGTTTTGCCGTCGCATTTTACTTGGATTACCCCAACACACATCAGCCAGCCGCTGACAGATCTTGTTCAGCATCCTCTGTGGATTACTCTATTAGGACAATCGCCAACAGCTCCGCTATGGTTGTCTTGGAAGGCGGCGGTGGTGTTGTTACCATCGGCAACAATCAATACCTACAACCGGATTATCTGGCTCCATTGCCAACAACGGTTAGTATTATTTGTTAACACATCAAAGTTGAGCTCAGAAAAAAATATGGAGCAAACAAAAAAAATTCATTTTTGCTGTTAACATTTTTGTATTCAACAAAAAACACTTTGATGAATGAGTAAAAATATTATTCAACAAAAAAATTGCAATCCAAAACTCTTGAAAATGTTACAAAAAATAAGTGAAAATAGCAAAATTAAAAATTGCTGGGAATTTCATTTAAATGTTAAAATGGGTTGCTTTAACCGAAAAAAAAAAAATTAAAAAAAAACATTTATATGGGAAGATTAACAAAAAAAAAATTGTTAACGTAATAACAAAAGTTAATTAGAACAGAAAGAGTCATAAAACATTTTCGTTTTTAAAACCGAATTCGAGTTTCAGCTGAAATATGAATTTTTAATGAAAAAAATAAAACATTTGTGATAATTTGTGGCATTTGTATCTGGCTAATTGAAACAGTTGAAAACAAGATAATAATTTAGCTGCAGTAAATTTAAAATGAACATATACAAAAATTTCAAATTAGTTTTTGTGTTCCCAACAAATATAATTTTATTTTGTTTTGCCAGATAAATGAAAAAAGTGTTCCATGCTTAAACAAATTATTTTTAAACAAAATTTTAAGATGCAAATTGTAGCACAAGCTATTGCAATAAATAAATATTTTTATATGAAAAAGAAAAAAAAATGGTATATGCCTGAAATAATTTGTTAACACAAATTATACATATATCAACAAAAATTTTAATGTTTTACTTTGCTTCATCATATTTATGCAAATTCTAAATATATTCTGCTGTTGCTGGTACAAAAATGTGTTATTTATTGAGACATTAATTTACAAAGAATAAAAAAAAAAAACTAAATTTGAAATTGCATAAATATAAGTACATTCAAAATAAAGCAGTAATTGTATTAAAATATTATAATATATAAAAACATTAAAAAATATGTACAAAAATGTACATAGCAAAATATATTTATTAAACCAATTTTTAAACTAAAAATAAACAAGAAAAGCTTTTTAAATATTTAGTGAAAAAGACAAAAATTCATTTATAGATAGATTCAAACATATAGTCAAATTATAAAAATTAATTTATCTCCGTTTCACATTTGTTCAAGATATCAAATGTTTATCCCAAAATTTCATTAATAATTTTAGGAAAGTTCTAAGATTCTAAAGCTAATCAAAAGTTTTCCTCCTCTCCTCTCGTTTCTCTGCAGATGGATGCCAAGAAAAGTCCGCTGGCTTTGCTGGCCCAGACCTGCTCACAGATTGGCGCCGATTCGTCGGCAGTGAAGCCGCTGCTGGCCGTGGACAAGAGCAAGAAGTCGGGCACCTGCTCCTCGTCGTCCACCTCGTCGAGCTCGTCGAGCAGCGCCGACATGGGCACGGCCAAGTCGCCCAGCCAGGCCAAGTCGCCCAAGTCGAGCACGCCCATCAGCAGCACCATTGGAAGCACCACGCTTGGCAGCGAGGTGAAGCTGGCCTTCAAGCCGTACGAGACGAACGTGCTCAGCCAACAGAACCAGAACAGCTTCAAGAGCAGCGCCAGCGAGGAGCTGCCGCGGCCCAGCTCCAAGAGCTCTACGGGCGCCCAGGAGCGCGTGCCGTCGCGCAACAAGTCAAATGCCACGCCCACAGACAAGCCGGAGCCTCTAGCCACCACGCCACACGACGCCAGCCGGAAGACCGTCTCGCCCGCCGGCAGCTCGCAGCGCGGCGCCAGCCCCATCGTGCGCTCCGGCATGGAGGTGCTGAACAATGCCAACGGCACCGCCCAGCATCCCAAGGAGATGAGCAGCATGGCCGCTGCGGCAGCTGCCGCCGCAGCCGCCTACAAGGCGGCCGGTCCGTACGGTCTGAATCCGTTGTCGGCGCTCTGCTGTCCGCCCGGCATGGAGCAGCATGCGAATCCCGCCTTCCGGCCGCCGTTCGCCGGCGGCTTCTCGCACCATCATGCGGCGATGCTGGCCGCAGCGGCCAATGGCGGCTATCCCGGAGCCGGAGCCGGCCCGGCCGGACAGCCCAATCCGTACATCAGCTACCAGCGCATCAAGACGCCCGCCGGCGGCGAGGCCATCGTGCCCGTCTGCAAGGATCCGTACTGCCCCGGCTGCCCCTACTCCGCACACACGCAACAGATGCTGATGGGCGCCCCCTGCCCGGCCGGCTGCACCCAGTGCGAGCACCAGAAGTACGGCATGGCCATGGCCAGCGCCGGACTCCCGCAGGCGCATCCCTACTCCCAGGCGGCGGCTGCCGCTGCTGCCAATGCGGCCGCTGCCCGCTCGGCGCCCTACGTCTGCAGCTGGGTGGTGGGCGACGCCTACTGCGGCAAGCGTTTCCAGACCTCCGACGAGCTCTTCACCCATCTGCGCACCCACACGGGCAACCTCTCCGATCCGGCCGCCGCTGCCGCCGCGCTCGCCCAGTCGCAGGCCCAGTCCCTGCTCGGCACACTCTTTCCGCCCTCGGCCCTGCGCGCTGGCTACCCAACGCCCCCGCTCAGCCCCATGTCCGCCGCCGCTGCAGCGGCCCGCTATCATCCATACGGCAAGCCGCCGGGCGCCATGGGCGGCGCCCCCTCGCCCTTTGGCGCTGCCGGCGCCTTCAACCCGGCCGCCGCGGCCGCTGCAGCTGCTCTGGGCCCCTACTACTCTCCGTATGCCATGTACGGGCAGCGCATGGGCGCAGCTCATCAATAAGAAGCTGGAGAAACCAAAAAGCGATAGAGAAGAGAGAGAAGAAGCCGAGGGAGGGGGAGGCGAGCCACAGCTTCGCTTTGGGGATGTCAAAGACGCTGGCAGCCGCGTTCGCTGTTCTGTGATACTAAACTGTAGATTTGTCGAGGCGCTACTTACATTTAAGTTTCGGATTAACCCACAGATACAACAACAACAACAACAACAACAACAACCACTACGACAACAACAAAGAATCCAAAAGCAACAACTTAATTACATATATATACATTCAGCATATACATACATATATGTATATAGATATTCTCGAGGAGTAAAAAGTGAAGGAATTCTGTCAAATCAAATCAAATGTTTTGTTTTGTTAATTAATTTAATTATTTGATATATATTTTAAGACATCAAAGTTTGTTCTCAAAGTTCAACCAAAGTTTTCTCTGACTTCCAGTTCTAACTAAATGCGATCCATGCATATGGATCGCATCGTATGAAAATCGTATGTTTATCAGGTTTTGTTTACACACCTTAGCGATACTTAAGCTTTGTTTAATTTTAGTACTTGTTTAGAGCCTAACCTAGTTCTTAGCCATTCGCATATAACTATGGATAATAATACGATTACAAATTCAATAAGCCCTTAAGTCATTTATCATATAATATACATATAATAAAAAATTATATTACAAAAATACAACAAAATCAAGTCTTGTTATTTCTTTATGTAAACGCATATCAATCCCAAAAAAAAAATAATAATAAATAAATAATTCACAATAGCAAAAACACTTAAAGTGCGCAGTAAATAAATGAAATTCACAATGAAAAATGAACGGGGAAAAAACTTTGTATATTAAAATACAAAATTCCATTTGTCTCAATTTATTTATTTGTTTATAGACTTGTTGCTTCTGCGTCTGACAATCCGCACTTGAATGAGGTGTGCGCGTACTTTTGGCACCGACTGTATGTGCATCCATCAATGAAGAATCTTCAAGCAACTGAAAAATATCATTTCACCAGATATTTCAGAAATTATTACGGAAAAGTCAAGCTGCATTTATTTTTATGAATATGTTTTATTTTTATTTATATATATTTCCATGATCATATACCTATATATGTGAATATATAGAAAGATTATTCGAGACAATGACAACAAAAGTTGTTTGTCTTTTTTGTTTGTTCTTATAAATAGTATATTCTATATTCTTAGGCAGGAAATTTATCAAGATCACCTCTGATTATTTTCATCACTCTCTAAGGCTGATAAAGCTTTGTCATTCTGATTTTATTTGAATTAATATGTAACTAATATCTAAGAAATGTTCAGATAAGTTAGGCAGCAATAGATTAGTACGATATGAAAGCGAGATATCCAATATTCTCACGCCTTGATTTGAATGAGTTGATATGCTATGCGAAATGGCTTTAATATAGTTTCAAAGAAAGCATAAACCATATCACAACTGGAAAAATACTTCACTACATTTCAGTTTATATGTGTAAATTCTTCTATTTTTCAAGAATTTTGTAGGAAACTCAGATATTTCTAACTACTTCATAAAACTATCTGAAAGTTTAGAATTTTTAGAGCGAATAAAAGAACTAAAATTGTGTTCAAATACAACCAGAATCCTGCAGGAGTCCGAATTATATGAAATTATTTTATATGAAGTATATGAAATTGTAGCTCACATTTTATAGCATTCCACTTACCATAAAAACTATAATAGGAAAGGCAATATTCTAATATGTTTGATGTATATTATATATAGTATATTAGTTGAATATTAATTAAGAATTAAAAGTCAAATAGGTTAGATTGCACTGTGGCATTTTACATGATTGATTGATTGATAGCGTTTATTTTTCCGTGTATAATATGTAGCTGGAGCTAAAAACAGCTAATTTCCTTATCTGGCAAGCTCTAATGTAATTGCAAAGTAAACAAATACCGCTTAATATAAAGTAAATTACTTAAGAGGTATTGCGAATCGGGGTCACTGGTTTAAGATCTTTCCAACTACTTTTGATAAATAATTGAAAGGAATTTAACGAAATGTATGACCTATATATACCATTGCTAATATATGTAAGCTTTGATTGTGCTCAATGACTAGGAAGATATTTTTGAATAGCAATAGAATAGCAAGAATACTAAATAGCATTTATATATTAAGTGTACTATATTTAGTATAAATACCATATATGTATATAGAAATACCTGGTGCACATATATTATACATACCCCATACATTGTATATTAACTAAATATACTCTATATTATATACATACATGTATGACAGGTTCAAGCAATATAGTAAAATATAAAAGAACCTTTTTAATTGAAAGCAATTTGTCTTATTTTGGTGCCATTGTGTGAGGTGGGAAACCATGATCAATTTTCATCAATCTCATCTGCCCTTAACTTGCGGATCTAAAATGATTTTCCCATAACCAAGCAATTCTAAAACTATTGAAAAAGGTATCGGATTACTTAGGGCAATACTATAAGCACAAAGGCATTCGCTTCTCTCTCTAGATTATATTGCAACACCATATTAAAAATTTACCACGTAGAAAATGAAATCATTAGGTATAAACGCGTAGCTAATTGGAAAATCACTATATCTTTCATAATTTATCCGTAGAACAAGTTCCGAAGCTGTCTCATTGTTGACCTCCGCCTTCGATAGACCCATTAATAACATGCTGACCCATTGCGACTGTCATAAATTGACTTCAAGATCCGTGTATTTAACATAATTCTGTATTATACTCCGCATATCGATTGCACATGCTGAATCGCTTGTTAATCAATAGACTGTCCGAGATAATTCCTAGCTAAATCACACTGATTCAAAGCATTTGCAATCCAATGAACTAAGCTGCGGCCGACAGCTGTTGATTGGAATGGATGATACGCCATCCATTATAGCTCTCGATTGGCGCTCGATCTGTAGGCGATCGTCTTGAATTTAAAAGTCAAATCGCAATCAGAAGTCGATGCTGCGTTTCGTCTATTCGTATTTGATATTTCGTATGCCAGTTGCAACAATTTTTGAGCCCATAACATTTGAATTTCATGAGCTGCGGCTGATCGAGGCTCAGCAGGAGGACGCAGCGGGGTGCGGGGGGAGGCGTACCGTTGAGGTGGGCGCGGCATTTGCGCAAGCGTTTGACAAACTCTCAGCGACAGCCATAAAACACCCAGGCTGAAATTAAAAATCAATAAAATCGAATACATTTAACCAATTGACATTCAATGAGCAGCGCACAACAAATAAAAAAAAAAAAAATTAATATATAAAAAAAAAAATTACAAATAATAAAAAAGTACAAATGAAATGCCACTTGGCCGCAATTATCATTCGCCAGCCCAGTCGGGCTTACATATCTGTTAAGTAAATTAATTGTGACAATATTCAATTGATTTGATTTAAAATTATCGCCATCAGCTGTCAGGCGAGCAACGAGCTACGATTTTTCAATTGATTTTACTATGGTTCTTTCGATTGCCCCTATACAGATATGTACATACATACAGTAATTGGACAATTTTATTTTCTGTCGTTTCTGTTGCCCTTATCAAAAGCATATTAATTTCTTCATTTAGTTTGCTATAGAGATTTAATTTAATTCTCTATTAAATAGATATATTATCAGCTCTCATACTCGCCCTCCCTCTAAATACCTTAGCTCTAAAAAGTGTATCTACTAGTCGACCTCAGCATTTTTTTTGGATCTCTGCTGACTTTTTTTTCTTGCTCTGGTTTACAGTAATAATTTTTTTGATTGTTCAATTTCTGCTGAAAGATCTGTTGATCGTGTTTTTATTGCTGTCGTATCTTTACTGTTGTTGCTTTTATCATTGTTGTTGTTGCTTGTGCGCTGTCTTCCATTTTGATTTTGTGTTGTTCCAAATTGAATTTATTTACATGCATCATATTTCTTTTGTATTGCTGTGTTGTCCATGTTAAACAATTTGTTTTGTTGTCAACACTCAAGAGCAGCAGCAGCAACAACAAAAACACAACAACAACAACAACACACAACAAACGCTAGACAAACGGCATGGCAACTTTTTGTGCTATAAATAGACTTGCTTTGCTTTGCTCTGCTCTGCTCTGCTCAGCTGCTTGTTGCTGTCTATCGGTGCATTGGAGCGAAGAGTGGCGCGTAGAGTTGGTGTTGGCGCGCTCTTTGGCTCTCTCGCTCCCACTGTGGGGCCTCTCTTGCACTTCTTTTGGCTGCATGTCTTGTGATCTCTCTTTGCGGTGCTTTTATATTTAAGTTGCTTGGCTCCAAACAACTGGCTCGTTGGTCTAGGGGTATGATTTCCGCTTAGGGTGCGGGAGGTCCCGGGTTCAAATCCCGGACGAGCCCAAGGCAAGATCGATTTTTATTAAAAATAATTATATTATTTATTTTTAAT